ATGCCTCCTGGCTAATTATAACTCTTTGATCATTTGACTAATCCACGCGTCATGACACGTCACAACCAATATGCAAACTCAATTTTTCCCAATACACTGTCATGGATAGGAAAATCAGTTTCAGCAGAGCTATTTCCTAGTATTGCTTATGCTTCAAATTCTGCAAAAATTTGGAGTGAATTCAAGGAGAGGTTCAACAAATCGAACTTAACCAGAATCTATCATCTGTGGAGAGCGATAGAAATCCTAACCCAATGTACAGACTATGTAACAACATGCTACACAAAGATGAAGTATTTGTGGGATGAAATGGATGTTCTGTTGCGTTGTGCAGAGTCAGAACCTTTCTTTGAACACTTTATCAGCAAAGACTATTACAATTCCTAGTGGGACTTAATGAGAGTTATGGTCATGTAAGGAGTCAAATTTTGATGAAAGCTCCAGTGTTGACTGTGAATCAAGCGTATGCCCTAGCTATTCAAGAGGAAAGTCAGAGAGCACTTGGTGTAATTGACAATTACAAAGAACCATTGACTATGTTTGCAGGAAGAGGGCAAAACATGAAGGGAAAGAAGCCTGATTTAATCTGTGAGCATTGTGGGTACAAAGGGCCTTTAAGGAAAAATTCCGATAAAATTGTAGGATATCCGGCAGAATTCAAAAGCAAGAAGAAAAATCTTTCTGGAGGAGTTAGATCATACGCACATGCAGTGAGTTCTGAAACTAGTGGATCATCTGAGAATGCGCAAGGGCATTTCTTTATAGAGGATCAGTATAAGTAGTTGCTGGGACTGGTGAATAAATCGGCTGCAGGTGATAGTTATGCTAACCTGGAAGGTTTATCCACATTATTGTGAAATTCCTTTACATGTGATTGGATAATTAATACCGGAGCAACACATCATGTAACTCCACACAAAGAAGTTTTAGATGATGCAAGAAAAAATCCTAATTGTAGGAATAATAGTGTACAAGTACCTACATGAAATAAATGTCTAGTTGCACATATTGGTGAAACAACCATACTAGGAAATCAATTATTGAGGAATGTGCTACATGTTCCGACTTCAAATTCAGTCTGTTGTTAGTATCCAAATTGACTAAAGAACTTCGTTGTTCTGTGTGTTTCTTCCCTGATTTTTGTATGATTCAGGAACTTTACAATGGGAAGGTGATGGGGATTAGTAGAGAAAGAGATATATTATACATTCTTGGGAGAAAATTTTCATCAGTTGTTGGAGCTGTATCACAAGCAATTGAAGATACAAGACTATGGCATCTCAGACTAGGGTATCCCTCAATAACTGCAATACAGCATATACCACTATTCAGGAATAAAGTTGATAAAGCAGTACAACATAACTGTGAAGTTTGTCCATTAGCAAAGCAGACTAGAGTTAAATTCCCCATTAGTAATAGCAAAACTTATTGTATTTTCTAGCTCATACATGTAGATGTGTGAGAACCTTACAAGGAATCTACATATGACAGAAAGCATTATTTTGTGACCATAGTGGATGATTTTAGTAGGTTTAATTGGGTATGTCTTTTGCAAGCAAAGTGTGAAGCAGTAATTGTAATCAAAGACTTTCTATCAATGGTAAGAAATCAGTTCAATACTAATGTCAAGGTGTTGAGATTAGATAATGGGAGATTGTTCATTAATTCCAACTGCAATAATTTGTTATCTTCTTTTGGGATTGTGCATCAAAGTAGCTGCCCTTACATACTCCAACAGAATGTGGTGGTAGAAAGGAAACACCGACTATTTTAGAAGTAGCTAGAGCTCTTAAATTTCAAAGTTCTATGCCGATAAGCCTTTGGGGTAACTGTGTTAAAATGACTGTATACTTGCTCAATAAATGGCAAACCTCAGTTCTACAAGGGAAATCACCCTATGAAATGTTGCATGGTGAACCTGCTAAGATCGATCACCTAAAGGTTTTTGGTTGTCTTTGCTTTGCAAACTCCCTGCCAAAATGTGACAAGTTTGCCACTAGAGCAAGGAAAACAATTTTGGTAGGATTCTCAGAGACACAAAAAGGCTACAAGTTATATGATTTGGAATCCAGAAGCTTTCTTGTAAGCAGAGATGTCCAGTTCAGGGAACATGTATTTCCTTTTGCAAAGTCAGAGCTTGATACATCAGATCCTTTCTTGGATCATGCTATTGTACATGCACTGATAGACACCAACTCAGAACATCAACCTACTTCCTCAACTGATGAAGCAACAAGTTAACCTTCACAATATGCTGCACCAGCTAGTGAAGTGGGTGTTTCACGTGAAGATACAGATTGTCACATGCTTCAGGAAGGGAGACACTAGAACATATTCATGTTGCTGAAGAAGTGAATTAACGCAGAACCTATAGAAGAGGAAAACACTATAAGTGAGTCAACAGACTATGATAGCATGGGTGATAACAACATTCAAGATACATTCCAGACCATGATGAAGGGAGAAAGAGTTCAAGAGTGTCAAGGCCTCCCACTTGGATGAGAGACTATGTTACCACCAAACAATCTAAATAACCTGGAAGCAGCAATTGCATATATTCCATCTCGGATAACTTGTGTTATGCCAATCTTAGCAAGGCTTATCAGTCATATTTGGATGCTTTATCTGTACATATTGAACCTGCATCCTTTAAGGACGCTTCACAAGACAGCAGATGGATTGAAGCAATACAACAGGAAATCAATACTCTTGAAGAAAATCACACATAGGACATTGTAGACTTGCCATCAAGTAAACAAGCTATTAATTCTTAATGGGTATACAAAATTAAATATAAGGCCAATGGAGAGATTGATAAATTCAAGGCAAGATTAGTAGCAAAAGGCAATAAACAAAAGGAAGGATTGGACTATCATGATACATTCTTCCCAGTTGCCAAAATGGTTACTATGAGAACTGCATTAAGCATAGCTGGTTCAAAAGGATGTCCTCTATTCCAAATGGATGTTAACAATGCACTCCTGCAAGGAGACCTCTATGAAGAGGTTTACATGCATTTACCTCAGGGATTTCACAAACAGTGGGAGAAGAAAGTATGTCGGTTAGTGAAGTCACTCTATGGTCTCAAGCAAGCTTCAAGATAGAGGAATATAAAGCTCACCAATGCCTTAACTTATGGGGGTTTTAAACAGAGTACATACGATCACTCATTATTCACAAAGAATCAAGGCCAGAGTATGGTAATTGTACTAGTCTATGTGGATGACTTGCTAATTATAGGGAACTGTTCAAGGCTAGTAGAAGATGCTAAGCTCACACTACAACAAGTTCAAAATGAAAGACTTGGGGGAGTTGAGATATTTCCTAGGTCTAGAAGTGATGAGATCCAAGGAAGGTATCCTACTCAACCAGAGGAAATATGCCTTGGAATTAATTTTTGAAGTGGGACAGTAGTGCTAAACCTGTGAGCACACCATTAGAACAAAATCACAAGTTGACGACTGTTGACTATGACAAACATGTGGGAAAGTTAGATGATCCTAAATTAGAAGACACAGTCAGCTATCAAAAACTTGTTGGGAAGCTGTTTTACTTGATCATCACCAGGCCTGACATCAGCTTTGTTGTGCAAACCTTGTGTTAGTTCATGCAACAACCCAAACAATCACATATGGATGCAGCCATGCGAGTGATCAGATACATAAAAGGAACTCCTAGATTGGGGATTCTTTTTAAGAAATGGGTAGTAGACATTTCTATCAAATTTTCACGGACGACCTAACAAGATGTGACAAGCTTGCATAGGAACCACATCACAAAGAACATCATCCACATACCTACCAACATTTAAGAAAATCATGCATTGTTTGTTGAATTTCAGTTCACCACTATCATTCAACCATTGAAGTCTATATGGCTTAGGGTATTTCATGCATGCAAGCTCTAACATGTTCACCAAGTGTGAACTCACCACATTAGCATAAATACCACTATCAATAATCATAGAACAAGTTTTCCCTTTTATTCCACACCTAGTATGAAATATATTCTCCCTTTATTCTTCACTATTTATTCCTAAATTAATAGTCATAATCCTCCTAACTACCCCAACCAAACCATCATTAAAAGAAAACTCTACATCGTCTTCACTCACAATGATTCAGATTGGGCATCTTGTCACAATACGAGAAGGTCTGTGACAGGTTTTGTGGTAAAGCTAGGGAATTCTTTGATTTCGTGGAAGTCCAAGAAGCAACAAACCATCAGCCGAAGCTCTGCTGAAGCTGAATACAAGAGTATGTCTGCTATGGTGTCAGAGATTACATGGTTAACTGGTTTGTTGGCAGACTTGGGGGTCTCAGTTTATATACCAGTGCAGCTATTTTCAAAGAGTAGAGCAGCTATACAAATTGCCAGTAATCCCATTTTTCATGAGAGAACGAAACACATCGAGATTGATTGCTATTATGTCAGAGACGAAATTAAATCTGGGCTCATTGTGCCACACTTTGTTCCTTCCTCCATGTAGCTGGCCGACTTGCTTACAAAGGGGATTGGCAGTGTTCAACATACACGACTCGTACCCGATTCTCTTTTTCAGTTAATAAGATTTCTCCTCCCTCTCTCCCCTTCCTCTCTCTAGAATCTTCTCTGCAATTCATTCTAGGTCACGAGCTGATGCACAGTCTGCTCAATTCTTCACCTTGTCCTCTTGATTTCGAGAAAGGAAAGGTTGATATTTATCGTAAAGATTTGCTCCTAGTAACTCCTCGCCAGTTTTTCTGATTGTGTCAAAATTACTAAAAATCTGCAAATAACAAAGATGTTCATAGTTGCAAATGCTATACTTTAATTCGTATTCGCTCTTTTGTTTAAACAAATTGATTTTTTTGTTTTGTTCAACTGGAATGTACATTAACTGAGTAGGAAGGTGCATCTATGCTTTAAGAAGAATTTTTTTTAACAGGCTAAGACTTTTGAATTATCATACTAATTATTCAAAAATGCTAAATAAAATGGAATAGAAAAATAAAAGGAAATGTGTTTGTATGTTGTTATACCAATTTAATTAGTCATATTATTTTTCTTTAACAAAGACATGGACTTAAATACATCCTTAGTTATGCATTTAATGTCGAAAAACGACATATCTTATCCTTTGAAAAGGATGTGTAACCACCCATGACTTTCTTTAATTTATGGAGCAAAATATAAAATTGGTCGGTCGGTTGAAACTAATTGCATTCATATACCAAAACTTATATATATATATATATATATA